ACCTGGCGGGTACTATGCGGGCACTGCCCTGCGGGACCACTCACCGCAGACACCCGGCGGGTACTATGCTGGCACTGTCCTGCAGGACCACACACCGCAGACTCCCGGCGGGTACCACGCGGGCACTCTCCTCCCTGGCCGCTTGCTGCAGACAGCCCCATCTCTATTCACAGGCATAAGCTCTTTATCTAGAGGCACAAATGCATTCTGTGCTGCAGAACAGATGCTGGAAAATCCGATGGGCCAGATTCCTTCCTGCCAATGTCAGCGGAGTCATGCCCAGGGCGATACGTCTGTCGGCTGCTCAGAAGTCAGGGCACTTGGCAACAAGACTTTGCTCTTCGGAGGTCAAAGCTGGTTAGACCCCATCTCCCCCCGACACGGAGGTAAGCAGTGTCTATAAAAAGCTCATTGACTGGAAGGTTCCCTGGGAGTTTGGTAGGGGGTTCAGCCAAGGCCCAGCACGAGCCCGGACACTCACTCAGCCCCGTGCTGTATTGATGTGTGACTCACGGCTCACAGCACTGCCCACCCGGCCCTTCCGCTTGCCAGCCCAGCATCTTCGCACGCACTGGAAAGGCAGAGCTGTGGCGCTGCGGAGCCCCCCAGACAGGGCTAGAGAGTCATGTGTAGGGAAGTTATTTACCCCTTCACATCACACGTGAAGCCATTAACAGGCAGCGGGTTGGCCAAAGGCAGGACTTCACACAGCGCACAGTCCGCCTGGGGGACTCACTGCCAAGGGGTGTTGTGGAGGCCAAAAGTACAACTGGGTTCAAAAAAGAACTAGATAAGTTCCTGGAGGACAGGTCCATCAATGGCCATTAGCCAGGAGGGGTAGGGACACAGCCCCATGCGCTGGGTGTCCCTAGCCTCGGACTGACAGAAGCTGGGAATGGGCGACGGGATGGATCACTTGATGATTCCGTTAGGTTTACTCCCTCTGGGGCACCTGGCATGGGCCATTGTCGGAAGACAGGACACTGGGCTGGATGGACCTTTGGTCTGGCCGCTCTTATGTTCTTACCAGCTCCATCCCTGCACCCTAACAAAGGGCAGGTGGGGCTTCATTAAAGGGACCAAGGAGCCCAACCTGGAACTCCTCAGCAAGTCGTGCCGGCGAGGTCTGTAAAGGAAACTGGACAAACGGTGCAAAGTCCGTCCTGCGAAGCACCCACAGGCCTCACCATTTGGGCACCAACCTCACTTTTGAATCCACAGCTCGTGAGCCTTCATCCCAGCCCGGCTGGCTCAGCAGGAAGAAATGTCTTGCCCCTGGACGAGTGGAGAGAGAAGAGCTTTGGCTTAGCCCAGCACTGAAGTGCAGCAGCCTCAGGACAAAGCAGGAAAAGCCTTTCCTTGACAGAGACCTCTGGCAGGTGCAGAAATGTTTGCATTGTAGTTGTGAGCAGCAGAAAAATGAGCTGGACCGAAGGGTGCCACAGTGGTGGAGCACTGAGCCTGCTTCTCACCACCAGGCGTGGCACACGGAAGGGGGATAAGTGTGACGCGTGGGTCCCCCAGATCCATTGCTCCATGCACCCATTCTGACCTGGGGGCCAAGCACTGTCTCCACGAATGGAAATCCCCTTGTGATGCTAGGAAAGGCACAGCAGAGACCAGAGCCCTGAGTCCAGGCAGCAGCTGCAGGGCATTGTGGGTACTAGAGAATGCCCTGGAGAACCCGGCCAGGGACCCTGGGACTTCAAGGGAATGGAGAATACGCAGCACCGGATGTGGATAGCAGCGATAGATGCTGCTGGCTCCTGGAGACCGTGGTGCTGATGCCAGGTGCCAGCAGTAGGAATTGGGGGGAAGAGACAGTCCTAGGGGGCCAGGCCAGAAGGGACTAGCTGATCATCCGACTGTGGGCACAAGACAGGTCAGAGAACTTCCAGGGAGTCCCGGCTCAAGCCGAATAATGCCTGGCTGAGCTAATGGTGAAAGACGTCCAACCTCGATTTCAGGTCTCCAGCGGACAGAGTCCACCACCCAGCTCACTCGCTCCAGGGGCTCATTTCTCTCCCCGTTACAAGTTGGTGCCTTATTTCTCTTGTGTTCTGCCTTTAGCCCATTGGGGTCTGACACCTTCTCCCCACGTCGGCACTTACAGCCCACGCGCCTGTCACCTCTTCACGGCCTCTGCTGCTCAAACCAGACTCGGGGCAGGCCTGTGCTCTGGGTACCAGCGGGGGAAGCTGTAGGGAGGCCAGGCTGGGCCCCAGCTGCAGGAATTTGCCAGAAAGCAGCTGCCTGTTCCCCTGCGCCCAGATCGCAGGTTCCTTCTACCGCTCAGCAAGTCAAGAACCGAAACAGCTCCAGGTGATGAGTTTGAAGCCCTCCCCCACCCAGAACCAGCCCTAGCCGCAGGGCCTGACCTTCAGCCTCCTCCTCTAACTTGTTGTCCTCGTGGTTGCCAGGGGAGCCCCCAGGCCTTCGGCAGGGCGTGATCCAGCCCCCATGACAAGAGCAGGGCAGAGATGGGATCTCTCGCCCCAGGGGTCGGTCTGAGCTTCCAAGTGCAGTGCAGGCCATGTGGGGAGCCTGCCCCCAGCCCAACCGCCCTTCCCCCAAAGAAGGAACCCAATCCTGGAGGCCCCTGGCCTCAAGGCGGGAGAGGACGTAGCGGCACCAGCCATGGGTTTGGTTAGGGCTCAGTAGCGCCCTGCCTTCAGCTCTGAGACCAGGGTCCTCACACACAAACCTTGGCCAGGCTACTCCGCACTCCAGCCCCGCTGCAGCTACCGCAGGAGTCCCCAACCCTTCTCAGTCCTGACCCACAGAATGGCTGGACAGCGGCCACCATCCCCCATCATCCATCCTGGTCCCAGCTGGTCTGAGTGCCGCACGTAGCAAGTCTGCTGCCCTGCGTCTCTCCCTACAGCCAGACGACATGCTGCATTACCTGGGCAGAGAACGTGCTCCCGGAGTTAAGGCCAATGGCATGATGCATACGCGCCAGGGGGCAGAGTTAAGGTTACACACACACACACACAGTCTGAATGCTGTGGTTTTCAAGAACATTATCAAGGCCCACCCCCGGGCCTCCCTCCCCAATACCAAGGGCAGCTTAAGGCCTAGCAGAGAAAGCGCACACAGGCTCTCTGCTGCCCTTTGTTTGCCAAAGCCTGCCCCATCTAGAATGAGAGCTAGCAAAGGATATCAAAGAAAATACTGGCCTGGCCCCCCACCTTCCCC